AGAAATCAATCAAGCATGTCACCTGAGGCTACCAGGTGTGGAGGCCCTAGGTCCGGCAGGACAAGGGCTGATAGAAGCAGAGGACACCAGAGTGGTGTCCTAGCAGAACCTACACTGTGACTTGGAACAGTCACTTCTCAGTGTCCTCAAGTTTAAAGTTAAGGAAAGAGCTCAGTTTTCCTAAACTGAATTGACCACCGACACCCTTAAAATCATAAGATGCTGAGAGAATACTTGTAGATATTGATTAGAACGGATGCACCTGAATATCAGCAGATGACACTGGATGCCAACTAATCTCTGCAAAAAACTCCATAAAAGTTAGATTTCAATGTGTAATAATGTATGCATAAATATGTTGTAGTATAATTTTATCTCAGAAATGGCTGTATTTTGCATTTTCAAGTAAATACTGTTTAATTGATAGACATTACTTTTTAGAGAAGTTTTAGGTTTACAGAAAATTGAGTAACGAATACAGTTCCCCACACACTCACCCTGCCCTCCCCCGCCACAGTTTACCCCCATAACTATTTTGCATTTAGTGTGGTGTTTTTAAAAGAAAAAAATATTATTAGCATTGATATTTTTTCCAACATGTGTGACACTAATACAGCTTGGAAGACAGTTTGAGAAAAATCTGGGATAGAGGCTCTTCAAGGTCCCTTTTGGCAGCTCTAAAAACAGAGTGAGAGCTTTTCCACTGCCAAGGGCTTTCCATTTGAGAATAGATATAGGAAAGGGAGAAAGCTAAAAAAAAAAAAACCAAAAACAAACCTTATGAAACAGCTTATTAAATGACCAATAACATGTCATTTGTCTCAAAGTGCGTTCTTTCCCTTTTCAGCCAAATAATAATCCTCTGAATCACAAGGAAGCCAAAGCACAAGGCAACCTGGCCCATACCATAGTCCTGCAACTAATTTCGGAGAAAAAAGTGCAGACTTCCTGATTTACAGCCGCAGGCTCTCGGCACCAGCCGCACAGCTCGCCAGGGAGTGAGCACAGGTGGACTGAGCTTGCGCACTGCTAGAAGACTGAAACCAGGCGTCCTGACTCAAGGCTCCAAGGGGTAGCCTTAGGACCGAAGGCAGGAAGTTCTTAAGAGAACTGGGAGGCCACCCTGATAAACTCAATTCCCTCCATGATTGGAAATGAGATGTATTCAAGAAGAGTTTGAATAAATTCAGGAAAGTCTGTGAAAGGTGAAGGAAAATCCCCAACCTCCTGACACGCTGTCATGGACAAGTCTGCCTTTTCAGAGCCTGTGTCAGAGAGAAACTGGTGGAGACACTTAGACTGGCCCGGATCCAGCCTGGAGTATGTAAGTCTCTTTTTATTAAAGCAATTTAAAAGTATTAAGAAAGAGCCCTGGCTGTTGTGGCTCAGTGGATTGCGTGTCAGCCTGCAAACCAGAGAGTCACTGGTTCGATTCCCAGTCAGGGCACATGCCTGGGTTGCACACCAGGTCCTCAGTAGGAGACGTGTGAGAGGCAACCACACACTGATGTTTCTCTCCCTCACTTCCTCCCTTCCCCTCTCCACAACTAAATAAATAAAATCTAAAAAAAGTATCAAGAAAGGAATTGAAAAAATGCACCCAAAATTACAGCAGTCCAACACTTGATTTTCTCTTTCAATTATATATATAAACTGTATATAGTTTATATCACAGTGCATATACAAATTTTTTTCTTTGGGTAAGGGAATGTATGATCAATTGTGATACTCTGTATAATTTATTATCAATCATCAGAACCACACAATATTGCATTATATACTACTATACCCTAATTTTGGGATATATGTCATTTTCAGTTTTTAGGTAGTCAAAATAATATTTTAGATATATCCTTTCCTTGTATGAAAATTTATTTATTTATTTTTAAAATTATTTATTTATTTCTTTTTAGACAGAAGGCACGGGAGTAAGAAAGAGAGGGAGAGAAACATCAGTGAGTGGTTGCCTCTCATGTGCCCCCCACTGGGGACCTGACTCTGAAACCCAGGCATATGCCCTGACTGGGAATTGAACTGGTGACCTTTTGGTTTGCAGACTGACACTCAATCCACTGAGCCACACCAGCCAGGGCCTTGTATGAGAATTTAAATTTTTTATTTCATTGGGCTAAATATTCAGAAGTAGGATTACTACTCCGTGAGAATAACCCAGTTTTTACCTTTTATTTTGAAGTCATTTTAAATTTACAAAAGAGTTGCAAGAACAGTACAAAGAGCTCCCGTACAACCTGGTGAATGACTCTTAACAAGGACAACCGTATTTAAGGGTGCTTCCCAGGAACTTGATGTAAAAACCCCAAGAAATGAAGTTCCTGGGTGTTTGTGCAGAATTCAGGTCGCTCACTGGTGCAGCTGACCCACCTGGTACTCTGCAGTCTAGATGAAGGCCTAGCAAGTGCATGTCACAATAACACCCTTCCAAATCACTGTGCTCTTCACCCTAGCGTCTGAAAAACCAGATGGCAACCCAAATTAAACCTTCCCCTATCGCACACAGAACGTCTGTCTTCCGCTCCCTGATTGCTTTGTCATACATGGCCTTTCATCCGTCTCTCTTTGCTTCGGTTTCCACAGAAATCACATCATTTCTTACTCAGCTGATGGGGCCTCAGTGTGGTCCTTGTTCTCCTGCCCCATCCCTGTGCCCACTCCAGTGATAAGGTGCCCCTGCTGGTGACTCACACATTCTGCCCACCCTTTGGGGGAGAGCCCCCCCCCCCCTCCACCTCAGGAGCAGTGGCAGGCTGGGAAAGCACTGCAGGAATGCTTTCTTCCAGTGTCCCTGTGCCCACTTTGTCTCTGTGTTATCTGGGCCTGGGTTTTATTTCTCTTCCTTGAAGGCAAAGGGCTTTGATACAATTTTCCCAGGATGTGATTTCACCAAGATTTATTTTCATTTCCCCCCATCGCCCCACAGCAATCCCTTGACTAAAATCAAGGCTCCCATTGTGTTCCTATTAACCTCCCTACACCTACCCCCTCCTTCTCAGGCTTCCCCAGATCCCCAGAGTCCATGAAAGGAAAACAACTTCATATTTAGTAGGAACACAGAGGTTCCAGTGCGTAGAACCAGGCTATTATCTGGGGTGAGTCATTTGGGAGTATTTCAGCAGAGCTCAGGGGCACCTGTTAGTGACCTGCAAACTCTTCTCAATTTCCTGCTCTAGGTCCATCCCTCTTTTTTTCAAGACCCCAGGCCTTCCTCCCCCCCACAACACAAACCGTGGGGGAGGGAGCAACAGACAGCCCCCCTTCACTGGAGACTACTTTGAAGGTTAACTGATCAAATTTGCATTTTTACTGGGGGCTTGAAATCTAAGGGAATGAGTTGCTAAAGGTGGAATTGTAGGCAGCCAGACAGGTAGGGAACTGGGAGGATTCTCCTCATCCCTCCCCTCAATCATGTCCGGAAACACCCTCACCCCCATCCCACCGCCACCAGGCTTTAGAGCCAATACCCAGACTGCACTCTCTGTGTGATCTGAGGATTTGAATGTGATCATTCGGGAGCAAATCATCCTCTCCAGGAGTTCAAGTTAAAATCTCATTACCACCATCCCCTTCACTCCTGCTGAGCCAAAATGCCAGAAAAATTCCCTGCCCTTCATCACGGCAGGCCCTGTCACAGGCAAATAGACATGTCTCCATGAGACAGGGCCACCCTCTGCTGTGCCTTATCTGATGTCCTATCCCCAATGCTCTGTAGCTAACTGGTCCTTTACTTCCTTTTTTCTAGTAACGCCCATTGGGAGAATTACATCTTCATAAAAATATAGAAAAACAGTTTGACTCTGGCCACAGCTGCCTTATGTTCCAACTTCAAAATCAGCTCTTGCTGTTTGACAAACACAAGCATATTTAGGATCAGAATATATGACATCTGGCCTCCCAAGACCAGCGGGTCATCCCAGTTTCCTCTGCCACCCAGCTGTGCCCTCTCCTGGCATTCTTTCTCTTACTTCTCTCTCACTTTCAAAATGCCTTGTTTCAGCCAGATGCCAACTAATAGTAACACACCACTTACTGAGCCCTGTGATGAGCCAGGGATGTTATCCACATTCTTTCTAATCTGCACGTATCTTGCAGATGCGAAGGCTCAGCATAACTGAAAAACTTGACTGAGGTCACCTCCCTCCTTACTGGTAGTGCTGATTCAAGCCTAAGCCTTTCCCCTACATGGTGCTATCTTCATCAGTCATCTGGAAGGTGTTAACAAGTCAAACAGGTTGTCTATTTCCAGGAGCATTTACATGTAAGAGCAAACTCTAGCACACTGAAAAGCTTCCATTGATTTAAGGGAGGAATGGTAGTGACAGTATTTCAAGCTCACTCCCTTTATTCCACAGTGCCACTCAGGGAATGGTGGGGCTGAACAGACCTCAGTGAGTCCTGGTTCCCTTGCGAGAGAGGTGAAATGATTTTCTCTGTGGTTGCAGAGCTAGGGAGTGGCAGGGTGCTTGCCCGGTGAAGCCGGCATTTCCCACTGGCGGGGGCACTTCCCACTGCAGGTGCGCAGGTGAGCCCTGCCTGCCCCTGAATGCCCCACTCTTCCCCCAAATGCTCCAGCCCTGGCATTTCCTCCGCCTGGAAGGCAGCTGGTCTATCTGTCCAGTCCTTCCAATCTTTGTCCAGAAGGACATAGTTACTGCTGGAGATTCCAGAAGAACCCCTCCTCCTCCTCAGTGTGTGTTTGTTTAGGATTGTAAAGACCTCTTTTCCTGGCAGAGGCTTACAGCCATCTGATCCTGAGGGTTCCTTGTACGTCAGTGAGACTGGGATTCTAAAGACAGATGACTCTTAATGTCCCAAATTCTTGTGAATTGATGACATCAGGATTAGGAATAATCAGGATGGCCCAAAGCCAAGATGGGCTGTGCAGCTTCCATAGTGAACTTCCTCCCCCCTCCTTATAAAAACAGCCCCGCCCCGGGTTTGGCTCCCTCAGAGCTCCATCCACTGGGCATCCTTTTGCTGCAGAGAAACCCGCCCACTTGGGGCCACCGACCCCACCCCCTGCTTTGAAATATAAAGGAGGCCGGAGCTGTGCAGAGAGATTGGCGCTGAAGTCCAGCAAGAGCTGAGCCAACGGAAAATCCTCTCCAGGAGGGAAGGAAAGCAAGGAGTGGTGGTAGGTTGAATTCTGTGCCTCTCTGTCCAGCTGGCTCCTCTTCTCTGTCTTAAAGGTCTTTCTGACTAGTAAAGGAATGGCTAAATGAGGGGCAGACTTTGTACTCCAGGCAAAAAGAGGATTAGCTAGAGTCGCACCCAAAGGGAGATTTCTTTTTGAATATGCATTTAATTGGAATAGGCTGCAGTGTTTTGGACAGGCGAGTTGGGCAAGGAAAGAGAGAGAATAGAGGGGTTATATCTTGGATAAGAAATCTCTGCTTGCAGAGTAAAAAGGAAAGTGAAAAAAAATGCAGAAATGCTCTGAATAGACAATATGAACACTTCATGACCAACGGTCAAGAAATGTACAATCAGCTGCCAACAGGACACTTGGGAGGGGGTGGTCTGACTAGGCAGCCTTCCTCAGTGAGCCCACGGAGAAACTGAGGCTGAGGATGGGGTTGGGGGGAGAGTCACTTATTTCCAGAGCATGATTAGGTAGGAAGTGCTGGGAAAGAGAAGGAGGGGACTTTCAGAGAAAAGCCTCTGAACTCCCCCTTCCTCCCACCATCTCCACTGGACAGCTTTGTCTTCTGGCTTTTTGCCCAGTGTGCAAATGTGAGGTCCTCTTGAAGGAGTTTTCAATTACAGAGAAAAAATAACATCAATGTCTTCTATTCTTAAAGCACTCTGCAGGAAGCATGTCAAGTCTCTCTAGATTTTCAGTTATTTATTATCTTTATTTTCTTAAGCTCACAGGGAGGGAGGGAGGGAGGGAGGGAGGGGAGGAGAGAAGAAAACGTGCTGAGCTCCCAGGTAACTAGTGACAATCTCAAGTGCAATAAAATGTGGTAAGGATGATTTATTTGGTGACCAAGTGAGAATAACAACGGTGGTCTCCTACAGCTGCTCGATGACAGAAAAAAATTACGTGTGTGTGTGTACATTTGCAATCCCATGAAGAAATTCTACAAATATAGCTGTTGAGTGGAGTTCCCTCAAGAGGACTTCCTAGCAGTTTTTGCCTGTAAGCAGGAAGACTGATGCTGGGATCTGGACACTGGCTTGTCCAGAATCAATATATGACGATCAGGGTGAGCTGCTGGGTGCGAGCTTCCTGTTAGAGCAGGGTCAGACTTGGGGCACCAGCAGGGATGCAGTGAATACTGAAATAGAAAGAGCTCTGTCCTATCCATCAATTTCTTCTACCTAAAATGTTCTGAGACACTAGCCTCAAGTCTCTAGATCTTATCAAGGGTAAATGATAGCTACCCTCTATCCAAATGCCTCCGTCTCTGTCCAGACTCTCTCAGAGCATTTCATTGATTCTGTAAAGCCTTGCTTGTACCAGATTCTCCCAGTGTCTTGTAGTCTCAATTGCTTCATCACAGGCTGGGACAGTCCATGCAGCCAGGGAGTAGCTGAAGAATAGCCATGCTGCAGTTATTTGTTTGTGCTCATCAAGGCAGACCTCTAGGACATTTGTTTCCTCGGGGCCTGACACACCGATGAGCAGAGCCGACATTCAGTGCATTTCAAACCATTGTAAGTGGTTGGTGGCAGCTCTGCCACCAATGGCAGCTTTGGCGGTGTGACTCAAAGCATGACTGTAACCATAAGGCTTTTGTAAATGAGTGGTGGGGACCACAGAACAATTGGAGGAACTTGCTGTCCAGGTGAGGCCTGTTGCTAATCTGCAACAGGAGTTTTTCTGGTCATGGGATCTTATAGCAGTTTAAGGGGCCCTTTGGCTAGGAACATCATTTGGAAGGAGCAGTGCTAGCTTCAGGACTTCCAAAGCTTCCAGGGTGTGTACAGATTACTTTCAACCAGACGGCTGCGGTGGCAATCATGGTGAACTTAGCTTCGGTCAGAATTCTAAATCCATATAGTGCTCTGAGATACCGAGTTGGTGGTTGCGAGGAAAAATCTGGGTATTGAGCTGAAATGTTTCACTTGATTATTTGGCATCGTGCATCTTCAATCTCAGAATAAAGTTTCTATTTTCTGTGATTTCCGGGTCCGTCTGATAAGATAGCTAGTACGAATAATGAGTGAGCAAAGAATACTCTGTTTATTCCTTCTTTGGACCATTTGCTGTGCATGGAGAAAAATTCTGTTTGTAGTTTCAGGTTGTAAGTCTCAGCCTAGTCACCCAGCTCATGAAACCATGTTAAACCAAATCAGAGTGGAAAAAAAACAAAAACAAAAAAGTGAGGATGATTCAGACTCAGAGAAAGTTAGAGCTTGACAGAATCTTAGAGATCATCCACTTTGGTCCACCACCCCCCCAAGTCCTGCCACATGGTCTCCTGACTTTGGCTTAGTCATCTACTTACACATGCGAACAGTATATTTTCTTGGTGATATTTTATACATTTTATGTTCTACTCTCCTTCCTGAGAAATAGACTTCTGTAGGAGAGGGTAGCCAAACAGATAAATCTCTTGATCACCTACCTGAAAATTAAGACCTATGACAGGAGGCAAAAATGAACCAGGTGCTGGGCACACAGCCAGCATTTCATAAATATTTTTTGAAGGGATGACTCAGGCAAGTTCTGGTGCTGATCATGATTCCCCAGGAAATGCTAACCAGCTGCCTTCCTATAGAACGGATACAATTGGGTCTCCTAGCAGGTGACCAGCACCATCCATGCCAATGGCCTTGATCCAGAAAGTAACTCTTGGCTAACAGGCCCAACTCAGGTGCACAGGATGGCTATGTGATGCTGTTGACCTATACACCAGTGGCTCAGAGAGGTCTGTTTGGGATCACTCAAGGTCAGGTTGAACCCAGGTACTGGGAGACCTTTGCATTAAGAGCCTTTTCTGTTTATTATATAGTCACAAATATTCCATCAACTTATGACTAGGCATTAGGGAACACGAATTGTGCTTTTTCCCCAAAAGCCCCAACATCCTTAGATCTCTTGGGCTTTCCAAACCACCCTTCTTTCTAGGGACACCCTGGAAGGGAGGCCCTGGGTTGTGTGAATTATACTCCTTTGCCCAAAGAAAGGTGTTTGTACTGAAGAGTAAGACGCTCTGGGTGCTATTACCCTGGACCCCAAGCTCTGGGCCCATCTTGGGGATATGCTCTGTCAGGAACACCTTACACTATTGCCTGGCTCACTCCCACTTCTGTTCAATCAACAGCTTATATAGCACCCCTTCCAGAAAACCTGCCTTGACCAGCCCTGCCCTCTGCCTCAACAAAAGTGAGATAGTTCCCCCTCCTCCACACTCCAGTAGGATCTCTTCTTCATTCCCACCTTCTAGCCTCACCTCTGCCCTGCATATCACAGCACCAACCTCAGTCTACTATGACTGCCTAGTTACTTGTCTGTCCCTTTCTAAACTGTGAGTTTTTGAGAACAGGGCATGTACATCTTTATATCAAAGGCTGTGCCTAGTGCTTGGTTGATGCTCAATCAGTATTTGATAGTGAATACAAAGAGTAAGTCATCATCTATGAATTCAAAAAAGGAGGAAATTAGACTCAGTGTGGTCAAAGTAGATGGGATAGGGACCTGACAGGCACTGGGAGGATGGCCCCCAAAATGTTTGCAAGCCCCCTTGTTAGAGATCTTTGCCTGACAGCTGGGTTCCTTGAAGGTAGTGGACAGGGTGCTGGTTAGGGAAGCTAACCGGTAGCCCACTATGAATAATCCAAAAGAGAAAAGCCTACTAGTCAACTTCTTGTTGGCTCTTCACATTCTGTCATGTTCACAAGAAAAGAGAAACTTGTTTTATTTTGCCCCCTGGTAGCAAGAGCCAGTGCCTGCCACCTGGGCTACAGAGAGAAAGGGAAGGCTTTTCTGTATAGTTTTGTTTTTCTGGGAAGCTCTGGTTTCCTTATTTTCTTCACATATTGTCTCTGGTTGTCAAACATCTGTGGGTTCTGTATCAGATGGGTCTTATCAGTAGCTTGAGCCTAACCTTGCAGCTGTCTTAGCCACTGACTGATTCCAGCTTGCCTGAGTCCCTGGCAGCCCAGACAAGTGTGGAGTAAATAGGCCTGGGAAAGACAAATAAAAACATAGATTAAAGACAGGATAAAAGACTCCACCCCATATTCAGGAAGTAACGGCTCATGCTAATTCTGATACAGATCACAGAGATGAAAGGCATGAGCCTCTCAATTGTGAAGAATCTGGTTACAGGTCATCACCCGATGTCCAAATGATCTAGGAAAAGGTATTCAGTATTAGCACTTGAACAGGATGAGGACCCCATAGAGCTTGACGTCCCTTCTGCTTGGCAGCTTCTAGTTTCTGTTGGGGCGGGGGCAGCGGGGAGCTGTAAACTGTGATGCTCCCATTTCTGAAGGACGCCCAGGACAGTAAGTATAGTTAACCCTACTGTGCACCAGCCATTGAGTAGGGCCTTTGCCTGCTTCTTCTCTATCGCCATAACAGCTCAGCAGGGTGGAAATGACCAGCCCTTGAGAAAAACCAGGCAACCACACACAGCTTCTAAGTGGTAAGCAGAGTGTGAAGTGAAGACTCCAGAGGCTATGCTCCTCACATTGGGGCATACGGCTCCTCTCAAATATCAACTCTGACCACACTGAAAATGTTATAATCCAGCATCAGGACACAGTAAGGAGCAGAGGAAAGGGTGTCAGGTTTTGGATATTACAACCGGGTATCCGGTCTTTGAGTCTCCACACCACCTCTAACAAGGCTGGTCACCTTAGGGCCAAGCCTCACATACTGTTTTGAATTTCAATTCTCTTCCCCATAGAAACAAGACAATATGGCCTTAAATGATTCAGTGGATGTAAAAGGGTTTTGTAACCTCTTTGTCTCGCCAGTAGCATTTACTCAAAGATATGATGAGCAAGTAGCATTAATTCACTCATTTCTCAAAAATATACTCTAATATCACTTTCATGTGAGTCAAGTAAATTGCTGGCAAATTTCTGTAATGATGCAGTGAAAAAGCTTCTCATCAGTTTGCTTGATTCCGTGTGTTGAAATGTGGAGGTTACCTGAAGAATAATCAAATTATTTGT